TTTAAAGTACATATACCACTTGTTACAAATGTGTTAGTATTTGAATATCCATAGCCTATCCAAAGGCTCACTTTAAATTAAATTTAGTAATAAGTCAAAATATATGTTTTTTTTAAATTACACTAAATGTTTCCTTTAAGGGGCTGCAATATAAGCTACCTTGCAGTAGCCCAAAAGGGAAGAGGAACATCAGCATGGCCATGGAGGTGAGATAGAATGTACAGAATTTGGAGATTTCATCACATGGCTTCCAGGCAAAGCCAATTGGTATATTGATATAAACATCACAACATGGACAAATCAAACGAGGCACATTATTAATTAATACACAAGCAAAGGTTACCGCCAGTGAAAACTAAATGTCAAAACAATCAATAGAAATAAAGGCAGCCAATTATATGTAAATTCTGACTTTTCCAGTAAAAAACCCAAAGCCCATTTTTTGAACTTTAAACTTTCCTATAATTCCTGTTCAATCAGTAACTGTTTTCATACTTGAATAACTATCTGTAAGATCCACTGATCTGCTTCTGGGAAGTACAGTGGGAGCCATACTTCAGGTTTACAGCTGCATTGGTACGGTGACTTTGACAAACACCAGTTTCTGTGTTCTGGCTCTGCCCCAGGACAGCAGTTAGAAACCACAGGGCCCCATACAGCCAACCTGACAAGCCCCCCCCCCCCAAAAAAAACACAGTTTACTATGCTTCAGTTATGAATGAACACCGTGACTGATCAGTGCCAATGATTCATTGTGTTCATTCATGAAAGAAAGGGGCTGATAAATGTGACATATTTACTAGTCCCTTCCCCAACTGTCCATCCTAAAGGAAACCTTTGTGTGCTTGCAGCTGCCACTGGAAAGGAGAGGAGGGAAGCCGGCAGTGCCATGGGTGTGGGGGCACAGAGGGGGGCCTGGGCTGCAGGAGAAAATGTATGGTGCACAGGGAGGGGGATGGGTGCGGGGTAGGAGGGCAATTACTGGAAATGATCCCCTGTATGGGGCATCTGAAAGCCAGCAGGAGGGAAAGGAGAAGAAGCTGTTGCAGAGAGAACCATACAGGGGATTGGTTCCAGTAATTTTTCCCCCACCAAGCCGATCATACTCCAATTTCACCCAGCTTCCTGGACCCCCCTGCTGGCCTGGGCCCCATACAGGAGGACTGGTAGTACCCCCTTATTCACGGCCCTGCTCTGCCCCCTCCCTTTCTTTGCAGTTCACAGAGCACAGCATGGAATAATGCTTTTTAAATTTTACTATGTGTGTGTGTGCATAGTGCTGTAATAGCTGCCCTGTCTCAGTAGTATGCTAGAGATCTGGACTAGACATGTGCATGCTGGAAATTGTTGTTTTGCTTCGGATTAATTCATTCATTGAAGAATTTCATTTGGTTGTATTCTTTACGTTGACCCAATTCGTTTTCGGAATTCGTTTGTATCTTCGGGATTCATTATATTCGTTGATCTGCGTGGATTACAGATTTTCTCTGAAGATTGCTACATATTCTATATATTATTGAATCGGATGGATTCAAATCAGAAGGATTCAATATTTTTGGGCACTAGTCCAGCCCACAAAGAGAAATGGCATGAGCTGTTTGTTCAGTATAAACTGGTGTCATGTGCATCTGAATTAATGAATGGAATAAAATTCAGATCCATTCACTATCCGATTTATTGAACAAATTTGAAAGTTGAATTAATTTCCCCATGGGTCCCATCATGTGATGTAATCTGAATAAAACAAATGCATTTGTTAATTTCATTATAACTTTTTTTAAGATTCATTGCCATTAACTTCTGTGTCCATTCGGAGATTCATATACATCCGAGTCTCCGAAAATGGAATTTTGGTCTGAAACACTAATCGGAATGAAACCTACATGTCTAATCTGGACTGCTGCTTTCACACCATGTTGCCGACACAGGCAGCTTTTACAGTGCTAGGCATACGCTCACAGTAAAAAACAGAAAAAACAACATATATGCCACATTCTTTTAATTTTTTTTTGTAACAGGTAAAGTTTATTGAGTTTTAAGTACAAAGCACCAATTTTGGCTCTTATACAAAACAGTTCAGTAGAAATCTGAACAAAGACTATCCGTGTATACAGACAGAAAAAGAATCACAGATTCTGTGATACAGAAGCTGTACTATAGATGAATGAAAATCAATCTATGACTGGAGGAGGGGTGGATGTACTATAGTTTCCATGAATGAAAATCAATCTATGAATGGAGGAGGGGTGGATGTACTATAGTTTCCATGAATGAAAATCAATCTATGACTGGAGGAGGGGTGGATGTACTATAGTTTCCATGAATGAAAATCAATCTGTGACTGGAGGAAGGGTGGATGTACTATAGTTTCCATGAATGAAAATCAATCTGTGACTGGAGGAGGGGTGGATGTACTAAAGTTTCCATGAATGAAAATCAATCTGTGGCTGGAGGAGGGGTGGATGTACTAAAGTTTCCATGAATGAAAATCTATGACTGGAGGAGGAATGGATGTACTATAGTTTCCATGAATGGAAATCAATCTATGAATGAAGGAGGGGTGGATAGTTGGCACTCTTGATGAGTACATAAGACAGGGCCCTCTGCTCTATTAACCCCTGTCGCACTGGAAGATTATGGCACCAGTGGTAGGGGAGGCATCGGAGGATGGAAACATTCAACTAAAGCAGTGGTTCTCAACCTTCCTAATGCCGTGACCCTTTAATACAGTTCCTCATGTTGTGGTGACCCCCAACCATAAAATGATTTACCCAGTAATTATAATTCATGAGTGTTGTTTTACCTCTAATACTGCTGCTTTCAACACAGTAGCTGCTTTTAACAGAGTAGCTGCTTTCAACACAGTAGCTGCTTTCTACACAGTAGCTGCTCTTTACACATCGGAAATATGTGTTTTCTGATGGTCTTAGGGGACCCCTGTGAAAGGGTCGTTCGACCCCCAAAGGGGTCGTGACCCACCGGTTGAGAACCGCTGAACTAAAGCATCAGCCTGCAGCCCAGGGGACACATCATATTGATTGTAAGTAGTGTCCCTTGTGCTGATTTTATTTTAATATTTAGTAAAACGTATGCTTTAAGGCAGCAAAGCATGAAATAAAGAACCAGCCTGCAGCCCAAGGGACACATCATATTGATTGTAAGTAATGTCCCTTGTGCTGATTTTTTTCAATATTTAGTAAACCGTATGCTTTAAGGCAGCAAAGCATGAAATATAAGTACATTTAGCATAGCCATCCAATATGTCCCAGTACAATTATTAACATCAGCAGCATACTCATAGCAGATACAAACCCTTAAATGTCATATTATTTACTTGTTATGCAGACGACTGGGACAGTCAAGATTCTTAGTTAAACCTGTCTGCAACTGCAATGATAGGAGAAAAAAAAAAAGGTAATTAACTATTTCTAGAGCGCAACTGCTGCTTTTCCAAAAGAACGAAGCTATTCTTTCCTTATTGCAAATCATTTTATTAGAAGTACTAGCTGACCACAGCTGACTTTAAATGTCCTGCTTTGCCTATTTCCTACCCAAAGAGAGTGTCTACCATTTCTCACACTTATTCATTAATATCATAAACAATAACATGTACACACATTTGAATTACAAGCCTGTGAGAACAAAGGAATTCATGGGAATGCAGCATTGGACATTGTTTATAGCCACCTGCCAGTAGATGGCACCATTCACAAGGCAATTATCTATGCAGACTGTGTACTCTTCTTTATAACAAATAACTGGGCAGTTTAGGGGAAGTTTTGCTGATCACATGAGAAAAGCCTCTTGCTGCAGCTTGTATAAATATTGATAGTGGTCTACAGACATTTATTAGACATAGGAAAGTAACAATTGTTGATATGGAAAGTCCCCGAAGGTGCACTTTAACAGATTATTTACTAAGCATACTGATGTGAATACACCTATTAAAGTGTAATTTGCATCTAGATTTAAGTTCTAATTTGGCAGCTCTAGACCTCCATTATTCATGTCAGTGTAAGAGAACTCCAGGTGGGAGTTTAGGTTGTTACAGCATGTAATGAACACAGCTGTATGCCACAGTAGAGCGTGAAGAACAGTAAAATACGCAGATCAAATGTTGTAATCAGTTGTCATCTCCTGCTTTCAGTGTGTTTAACATTTTTCCCTATTTATGATAAACTATGACAGGCAGCATCATCAATAGCATTTATAGCTCTGGTAGCAAAGTATCAAACGTATCACAATGTGCCCATGTGATTGGTGCGTTCTAGTCAATTGTCTCCTTCGCCATGACTCAGCACCGTGAGTTGAGCCAAAATTACAGGGCGTGTCCACGAAAAATGGATTTTTTTGTTTTGTTTCTAGGACCCCTTCACTTTAACCACTTCCTGTCCGGACACTTTTACCCCCTTCCTGTCCATGGCAATTTTTAGCTTTCAGCGCTATCACACTCTGAGTGACAATTGCGCGGTCATGCAACACTGTACCCATATGACATTTTTTTGAGACAGACAAAGCTTTATTTTGGTGGTATTTTTTCACCACTGGGATTTTTATTTTTTTTGCTATGTAAATGAAAAAGTCAAAAACTTTTGAAAAAATGTGTTTTTTTTCTTATAAAATTTTGCAAATAAATAATCTTTCATCATAAATATTGGCCGAAATGTATTCCATTATCTTTTTAGTAAAAAAAATAAGCCAAATAAGTTTATAACCAAATACTATAATTTTTAAAATTTTTTTTACATTTTTCTTTTTTTTTTATATTATTATTTATGTTTTTTTTTTTTACATACTGTCACCCTAGCAGTACAGTGTCACCATGGTGACACTGTACTACTTGTGGGAGGTGATGAAGATTTTTTTTTTTTTTTTTTTTTACAGCGATTGCTTTTACACCCATATAGGATGTAAAATCAATCATTTCGCTTTCTCTCTGTCTGCATTATTGCAGCCATTGAGAACTACTGAATAAGCTGTAATTGGTCACAGCTTGTCACATGGTACAAGGCTGTTGTGAATAGCCTTGTACCATGTGACCTCTGTGATCATTCACAGATTTCACACGTAGTAAGCAATGATGTCACAAGTGACATCTTGCTTACTACTTTGCATGTGATCACTGATTGGCCAATCAGTGATCACATGATTGGGACCTCGCACAGAGGTCCTGTCCGACAATCGGTGTTTGCACCGGATCGCGGTGCTGCACGTTCCCAGGGAGCGCACACAGCTAGAAATGGCGGGTGCCGTTTATGAACGGCAACCCGCCCCTGGAGTGCCACCGTCCGGCCGTTTATAAATAGCAGGCGGATGGAAAGTGGTTAATAAAACAGAGGAATTATCATTTTAGCTCCCTATTCCTACTGTAAGACTCCATCATACTTTTAGGCTCCATGTACACGGGACGTTTGGAAAACACTTCCGAACGATGGAAAACGTAGGTTAAAAAACGTCAGTTTAGCCGTGTTTGCATACCGCATTTATGTGCGTTTATTTTAGAAGCATTTTTTAAAGATAACCTCAGGAGACCTTCCAAAATGCCCAGAATGCACTGAAAAACAGTAAAAAATTAACTATTTCAGACATTTTGAGAGAAATAGAGAGAGCAGAAGCAGAGAGAGCAGTATGTGTTGAGATTACCTGCCTTTTCTGGTTGTATTCACTATGGATCCCATCATGAGCATAATGCGGCACGTTCTACCATTTTTTCTCCCACGCAAAACCTGGAACTGACTGCGCTGGTGTACCGGGTCCATTTGAATTCATGGAAAACACTTTGCATGCATTTCTTATGATGAAAAAAGGCTCTGGACAGCATTTGGATATGGAACAGTTAAAAAACGCTTCTAAATGCAAACGCTTATAAACGCGGCTAGCCGCAAGTGTGTCTAGCTGTGAATGGTCACAGTGATCCAGGGGCGGACTGACAACTCATTGGGCCCCAGGGCAATAGGGGATCATGGGGCCCCTGTGTCCTCGCCCACACGCAAACCACACCCAAAAAAGCCTATGAAAGGTACCAGGGACATCTCATGGGGCCCCCTACTGACCCCGGGCCCTCAGGCAGTGCCTGAGTTTCCCAATGGTCAGTCCACCCCTGCAGTGATGACATGCACAGGCTGGGCCAATCACAGCCCATCTGTGTCATGTGATTAGCCGTGGCCAATCACAGCTAATCACAACAAAAATCCTGAATGAATCGATTTCATTCAGTTAAATGCTTGCTTATAGCAAAGAAATGCTTTGCTATACCACCAATCAAATTCTGTAAAAAAAAAATATTGATCACTTCCCCAAAGTAGTACAATGTTACTATGGTAACATTATACTACTTTGTTCATAGTGTAATATGGAAAAAAAATCTTAAAAAAAGAGAAAACATTTATTAAAAAATAAAAAAAATAGTAATAAATTTTTTTTTAATAACATCAATTTTTTTTTTCGTACTGTCACCGTCAGTGTCCCTGATCACCACCACACCAGTTATATGATGACGCTGTACTACACTGGTGACAGTATGTAAAAAAAAAAAAGAGTGAAAATATTTTTTTTAATTTCTTTATTTTCTTAAAGTTATGACTAAAAAATTACAACTTAAAAAAACTTGCCAAGTCTCTTATGAAATACATCAGACTGTCTACTTTGCAAAAAGGGGTCATTTGGGGGATATCTGTACTGTTCTGACATTTTTGGGCCTCAAGAAATTAGATTGGCTGTCAGTACTTCAGGATTGATCAATATTCAGATATATCTCATAGTTTGTGAACTCTATACCCTTCCTACAGACTAAATAATAAACACTGATTTGGGGTATTTACACCAAAGAAATGTAGCAGAATACATTTTGTCCTAAATTTATGAAGAACAATTATTTATTTGCTAACTTTAATAACAGAAACAAAGAAACTTTTTCCAAAATTTTCAGTCTTTTTTTTTTGTTAATTTAGCAAAAAATAAAAACCCCAGTGGTGATTAAATACCACCAAATGAAAGCTCTAGTTGTGTGAACAAAATTATAAAAATTTAGTTAGGGTACAGTGTTGTATGACCGCGCAATTGTCATTCAAAATGTGTGAGAGCTGAAACCTGAAAATTGGCCTGGGAAGGAAGGGGGTAATAGTGCCCGGTATTGAAGTGGTTAACAATAAAAATAATTGATGAGAAAAAATTATAATTTATTTTTTCTGCAGATAAATTTATTTGCATGCTCCAGTTCAACTTTCCAAACTTGACCTTTAAAATATACTCGCCCTATTGCAGACTTTCTGAAATGGTCCAAATGGTCCTTCTACCATTATACAGTATGTGTCTCTGGGACATAGGAGATTTTCTACAAGCATTTGGCACTGTAGAGGTCAAACGTGAACTGAATCCATGCTGCTGCTATGGATTCAAATGAAATTCACCCTTAAACCAAAAGGTTGTCAATTAGGATATGTAGCTAGAAGGATGGAGGATGTTTGGACATCGGAAACTGAAGACAATTGCATAGCAGTAATTAGTGAACTGGTGATTAAGTCCATTCCTGCTCCAGGTGTATACACACCTGTATGGAGCCCCAGGGTACGTTTTCTGGCATACTAGGTAACACTACTATAGGATGGTCTATGCATCCTGTCAGTGCTCATTGGATCACACAGCCAATCATTCACCACTCTTTCCTTCTTGGTGTGAAGAACTCAGAAGAACCTCTATAGACTCTAGTGGGATACTATTCCCATCATAATAGTGTGCTTTGAATGGGTTGAACTACTACAAATACATACTTAATGACCATAATGGATAAGATGTATGCTGCTCTCAGTGCTACCTGCAAGTAACACCTACATTAGTCTTAATAGACCATAATTATCCATAGTCCGACCATTCACTTACAAATTATGCTGATCAATGTATTACCTAAAAAGCTGCTCAGAAGAAAGGCTTCATGTTTTCAGGAATTTATTTGACGTGATCATTAAAAATATGACATTATGTTCTTTCTGACTAATTTTCTGCCCCCCAATTAAGAATGTGTTACAATGTACTAAAAAGATTTCTTTCTAAGAAGACCTCTTATCTCATATTATCTTGATATGGCAATTTAGGAGTAGGATTTACTATCTTTTACTACTAAAACACTAATGTTGGTCATATAAGGGAAAAAGATTGGCACTTATCATGAAAATTTGGGGCAGATTTACGTAATAATATCACTGTGTAAAACAAATCACATTGTAGGACTTCTTGAGTCATTTGCCACCAAAGGAAAGGCCTCAAGGCTTTGGAAGATCCCACTGTATTTCTCTACTTGGGAGCAGAAAAGCATTACAATAGAAGTGTTGGATCCGAAAAAAATGAACATTTATTCTAACCTAGATGGCTGTAACACTGATCTGATGGCTGAGTTATTATTATTATTATTATTGTACAGTATTTAGAGTTGTGTTCAAAATAATAGCAGTCAGACATCACTAACCTGATCAATCACTGTTTTTGGTAGAAATGATATTTCTACATGGCAAATAATTTACTAGCAGGTGTAGTAGAGTAATAAAAATCCAACAGACCCAACATTCATGCTGCTGATTCTGTGTAATTGAATCACTAATTGAAAGGGGCATGTTCAAAATAATAGCAGTGTGGAGTTCTATTAGTGAGGTCATTCATTCTTTGAAAAACAGGTGGCAATTATTGCCCTAATTTAAGGAAGGAAGGCAGCAAATGTTGTACATGCTGGTTATAGTGCATTTCTCTCTAAAATTCTGAGGAAAATGGGTCGTTCCAGACATTGTTCAGAAGAACAGCGTACCTTGATTAAAAAGTTGATTGGAGAGGCAAAAACATATAAAGAAGTGTAGAAAATGATAGGCGGCTCAGTTAAATGATGGCAAATGCTTTAAAATGCCAACCAAAACCTGAAAGACGCGGAAGAAAGTGAAAAACTACCATTGGAATGGATAGAAGAATAGCCAAAATGGCAAGGACTCAGCCAACAATCAGCTCCAGGAAGATCAAAGAAGGTGTAAAGTTACCTGTGAGTACTGTTACAATTAGACTCCTATGTGAAGCCAAGCTATCTGCAAGAATCTTCCGCAAAGTCCCACTGTCGAAAAAAAGACGTGCTGAAGAAGTTACAATTTGCCAAAGAGCACATTGACTGGCCTAAAGAGAAATGGCGCAACATTTTGTGGACTGATGAAAGTAAGATTGTTCTTTTTGGGTCTAGTGGCCGGAGACAGTTTGTCAGACGACCCCCAAACACTGAATTCAAGCCACAGTACACTGTGAAGACAGTGAAGCATGGTGGTGCAAGCATCATGATATGGGGATGTTTCTCATACTATGGTGTTGGGCCTATTTATCGCATACCAGGGATCATGGATCAGTTTGAATACATCAGAATACTTGAAGAGGTCATGCTGCCTTATGCTGAAGAGGAAATGCCCTTGAAATGGGTGTTCCAACAAGACAATGACCCCAAACACACCAGTAAACGTGCAACATCTTGGTTCCAGACCAACAAGATTGACGTTATGGAGTGGCCAGCCCAATCCCCGGATCTTAATCCAATAGAAATCTTGTGGGGTGACATCAAAAATGCAGTTTCTGAGGCAAAACCAAGAAATAGAGAAGAACTGTGGAATGTAGTCCAATCATCCTGGGCTGGAATACCTGTTCACAGGTGCCAGAAGTTGGGTGACTCCATGCAACACAGATGTACAGCAGTTCTCAGAAACAGTGCTTATACAACTAAATATTCATTAAGTGATTCAAAGGAAAGCAAAATCTTCAAACATTTTTCAGTTTATATAGTGAATGTTTGAGTTTGTAAAGAAGAATACAAACACTGCTATTTTTTTGAACAGTCTAATATTCACTTTTCTTCAACAACACACATTTGATATATTTTTCTTCATGTTTTGATTTGGAATAGAATGTGTATTGTTCCCAATGCATTTGTGTGTATGGAAATAAAAGCTATTAGAAGGATTTTGAGCTTTATTGACTTTTTTCAACACAATGCTATTATTTTGAACACAACTGTATATAGCGCCAACAGTTCGCTCAGCGCTGTACATTACAATGGGAATCAATACACGAGACAGTACAATAACAATACAATGAGACACACGAGGGGTTCGAGGGCCTTGCTCCTTGGAGCTTACAATCTAGGAGGGAGGGGATAGTGGTACAGGAGGAATAGCTGCGGGGATGGAGTGGTAGGAAGAGTGGAGGAGATCGGCAATTAGCAGAGGGCGGGGTAGGCTTCCCTGAAGAGGTGAGTTTTCAGGGTGCACCTAAAGGAGAGGAGAGTAGGTGATAGTCTGATGGATTGGGGTAGGGAGTTCCAGAGGATGGGTG